ATTACCTATGCCTTAGAAAACTATTCATCAACCCCCCAGGGAAATGAGAAAGAGGCCTACATTTGCTCTTCCTGGGAGTGACACATATCAGTTCTGCTCACTTGCTATTGAAGAAAGAGCAGCCCACAGTTGAACTGAAGGGGCCATCCAGTCTCTGCAGTTCAGCCCCTATTAATAAATACGCTCTAGGAAAGATGAGGCAGCTGCCTTTCGCTACACAATCTCTTCTGTTTTTAATAAATTCCTCTTCAATTTGGTGAAAGGGCATCCTCTGGACTGTTCCTTAGAGACAGTATGTAGTAATAGCAAAAATTTCTAGTCCTTTTATGTTGAAAAACATCCAATTTTGCACTTACATGACCGATATATTGGCTCACATGGATTCTAACTTCAACATCATTTTTCTTGAGAAAATTTAATGTATTTAGCTATGATCATTTGATGCCAAAATGATTTACGTGCCTTGGTGGAACATCCTGTATTTTCTTTCTCTTTAGAAAGTTTAAGGTCTTCCCTTTTTAGTACATGTTTTGAAATTTTGTGAAGGTGTACCTGAATGTTACTCTTTGTTCATGCCAGTGCCTGCCATGGCATCTGATAGAATTTTTCAATTCAGAAATTATGTTTCTTTATCTTTGGGAAAATTTATTTCATATTTCTTTGATAATTAATTCTTGTAACTTTATTCTATCTTTTCTTTCTGTAACTCATTTAATGAGAGAACTTTCTCGATGATCTCATCAGTGTATTTTACCTCTTTATTCACTTTTTTCATCTTTTGACTTTTTTGCAGTCACTTAAATTCATTATTTAAGGTTTTATTTGAATTTTTTTCTTTAATAGCTCTGAAATGGCTAATATCTTCTTTCTAATCTCTAATCTTCTAGAGTATTTTATTTTGGCCTTATGGATGACTTTTTCAGAGGTGATTTGTACTTGTGTAATGTGGCTTCCCCCATCACATGCTGGATTTCCCTGCTGTCTTGTTATTCTTGGTTATGTATTTACATTGAAGGATAAAGATCCATGTTGTGTTCTAGGGTTCTAGGCAGGCAGGCTGTGCATCCTAAGATGTTTTATCGGAAGATCTGTTTTCCTGATAAGCTTTTCTTTGAAAGGCAAAGCCAATTGTGGATTTGTACATGGAATGATCATGCTGGTGAGAAATTTTTATTTACCAGCATGGTGGGTGGAGCCTGCCCACCAGGATGTGTGCCTCCTGGGTGTTCTTGCTCTACAAAAGTTAAATTTGTCAACTTGGCTGGTCCACAAAGCCACATCTTTGTGCAAACATTACTTTGGATGTTTCTGGTAAAGTGTACTTTGGATGAGGTTGATATTTGTTTTGTATTTTCTCCTGTCATGGTGAGTCAGTTGGTTCCCCAAGAGGGCATAGAAGAGGCTCAGATGAGCTAGGTTTATTATCCTCAGAGGTCACAGAACTGGGAGGCCTGGAGGTAGTGCAGTGCGGCATGGAGTAGCAACGGGTGGTCAGGAGGCAGAAACCCAGAGCTAGGCTGTGAGGAGACCATCGCCTCTGCTGGGATTTCCTCAGGAAGAGCAGGTTGACCAGTTTAGGACAGACTGGTTTGGATCTTTTATGTGAACTTTGGCCTATCAGATGGTCCCTCATTCCCTTGCACTTGGATCTGGATGATTAAGGCAGAGAAACACTGTCTCCAGAGGGTGTGGATCCCAGAGAGCAGGTCAGCTTGGCCAGCAGAGTCTGTGTGTCTCAGGCATGGTCCTCTAAGAACCGGCTGGCCCTGGGAAGCCCACACTCTCCCTAGCCAGATCGGTTATTCTTTTCTTTTTGCAATGTCACAACATCATAAAGTGTATGAAATAAAATCTTTGCAATTAAATTGGTAGACACTTTGCAAAGCAGATTGTACTTCATAATGTGGATGGAGATCAATCATCTGAAGAACGTGATAGTGTGAACATGGATTTCTGTGTAGAGAATGAATCCTGCTAGCCGAGTGCCCTTGCAGTCAAACTGCACTCCTTCCTGAATCTCCAGCCTGCCAGCCTCACTGTTACATTTTCAGCTCCCCAATCCTCTTCAGACTGTAGAGGCAATTCCTTGAGACTGGTCTATTTCCATATTTCTAAATATTTGATGTAATCTGGTTCACTTTTGTCTTTAAAAATCTTCCCTTTGCTTCCACCTCTCTGAATATGCCCAAGGATTACTATGGCATGCATAAAAATATATAGTCTCTTTGTAATGCTTTGCCATTTCCCTGTAAAGATCTGTATTCTTTGGAGATTTTCTCTCTGATTTTTTTTTTGTATTAAATTCTTTTATTGGTACATTGTAGGTATACAACACAATTACATTTCTCATTGGGAATTGTACCTTTACATAATGCATCTTGGTTCTTATTTTTTCCCCATTCCTAGCCCTCCCTTCACACCCTCCACCCTTCCCTATTTACAAAGACTTTATTTCCATTTTTTCCATTTCTCATCATTTTTCCTTTCCCTTCTTTCCTTTCCCCTGCCCCTCCCACTACCCCTACCCCTTTGGACCTTTTCTTCCTATTTTACATTTTCGATTATTCATTCTAATCATTGGTACATTTTAGGTATACAATATAATGACATTCATCATTGGAAATTTGCACCTTTACATAGTCTCTCTTGGTTCTTATTTTTCACCCTTGCCCAGCCCTCCCTTCAACCCCTCCAGTCCTCCCTATTTACAAAGATTTTGTTCCTATTTTTCCATTTTCTCATATTAATCCCATTCCCTTCTATCCTTTCCCCTAGCCCTCCCACTTCCTTCCCCTTTGCCCCTTTTCTTCCTATTTCACATTACCTATTATACATTTAGTCCTTATTTACACTTTCAGTTTCTCATACCAGAGAAACTATTCAGTATTTACACATGTGTGTCCTATTTATTTCACTTAAGAGTATCACCTCATTGTGCATCCACTTAGCTATAAATGTCTCTAATTTCTCATTTTTTATGGCTGAGTTGTACTCCATTTTATAAAAAAACCACATTTTCTTTATCCAGTCTCCAGTTGATGGGCATTTGGGCTGTTTCCAAGTTTTAGCTATTACAAACTGTGCTGCTATGAACATGGGTGCACATATATCACTGTGGTATGACTCTTTTTAATTCTTTGGGGAAGATCCCCAGCAGTGGAATAGCGGGGTCAAATGGGACTTCCAGTCCTAGTTCTTTGAGGTATCTCCATACTGATTTCCACAGTGGTTGCACCATTCTACACTCCCACCAGCAGTGGAGCAGGGTTCCTCTTTCCCCACACCCCCGCCAGCATTTGTTATTGGTTGATTTCATGATAGCAGCCATTCTTTCTGGCGTGAGGTGGAATCTCAGCGTTGTTTTCATTTGCATCTCTCGAATGACCAGTGATGTTGAACATTTTTTCATGTATTTATTTGCTATTTCTACTTCTTTATCTGAGAAATGGCTGTTCATTTCAGCTGCCAATTTTTGGATTGGGTCTTTAAATTTGGGAGGTCTGATCTTTTTAAGTTCTTTATGGATTCAAGATAGTAGACCTTTGTCTGAGGAAGAGCAGGTGAAGATTTTTTCCCACATTCTGGGTCTCTCTGATTTTTTATTTTTATTTATGTTGACATTTGTATAGCAGAAAAGTTCTAAGTCAAATTAGGAAAGCTAGTTCTTGATTTAGAAAAGCGAGAGAGTTATAGGTCCTTAGTCAATTAGTAGATGTAAGCCACTTATAGACTCAGGGCCTGTACATCGGGGCATGGTGACATTTTTTGAGAAGAACAGTGTTGTACTACTGAACAGTTATACTGCGAGTCGTTTTCTTTTGATCATGGTGACCTGGCCATTTGCTGACCCACAAGGCCTTAGAGTTGGGTGTGTACAGAAGTTGTATATATGTGGTCCTGAAGGCCAAGGAAGTTATGGGGAGAAAGAACTAAAACACTGTGGACTCTACTCCTGCCAACTCGACATTCTTCTCAGAGCAGACTGGCCTTGCATTGCTTCTTAGGTTTTCAAGACAAGAAAGAGGCTGGACACCCAAAGAAACCACTCGTGTCTGAGGTACCCGGTGTGCCTGGGTAGAGTTAGTGTCCATCACAGTCGCCAGCATCTTTCCTCTCCGCCTTTCCCTGTGGGAAGTGGAACAGGGCAGCATGTCCGTCTCTGGGGCTGCTGACATGTGCATTTATAGCAGGCAGTCTTCACTTATGCTTATGACTGACAGAAGTGGAAGTGAAATTGCTGTCACAGATTAGGGAGAAAACAGCATTGTGTGCCTCATCATTCAGAGCATTAATAGCTTTGTTGGGTAAAGAGAGGTGACTGGTGACCACTTCTCCCCTCCCAGGGCTGCCGGTGGGCCCAGCAGAAGGCAGGACCGAGAGGCACATGTGGCTGAGCCGTCATCATACCTTGTGATGTGTGGTTAGGTTTTGTAATTGCGGTGGAGTACAGAATGCTGATCTGTTTTGAGATAGGATCTTTTTCTATGTCCCAGGCTGGACTTGAACTTGCTATATAGCACAAAGTGGCCTCAAACTCACAATCCCCTATGTCAGCCTCCAGAGTAATGGGATTACAGGTATGTCCACCATGCCTGGGTATCAGAAGCTTTCAGTGGTCACAGAAGAGGTTCGCACAGCTAAGGTGAAGCCACCCATGACTCTAGCCTAGAAAGAGGGGGCCACAGCCTTGGCTCTGCAGATGTACACTCTTTGAGATCCCAGAATTTGGGGTGCACCTATGCCAGGCTCTACCAGGCCCTCAGCTGTGTCCACTGACCTCAGCACATAGCCTTGATCTCAAAGGGACCCTCGGCATCGCTCACTTGTCGGGACTGATGCTGAAACGAGGTGAAAGTGACATCCTCTATGCCCTGGCAATCTTTCCGCTGGACCAGGCAAACTCTGTGACTGGGCCTGTCTCTCCTTCTAAGCCCTGTGTTCTAACCCCAGATTATCTTAACCTTTTCCAAACCGAGATGCAGTTTCATGCAAGGAGGCACTTTCCCAAAATGTTTTTCTTTATTAAAACAAGTATTTAAAACCCTTTGGCTGGCTTCTGTGCTCTGTCCAGCCACTCCAGCTCAGGTGCAGCACTTGGCCTTCCCACTGTAGCAGGTGCCGACAATTTTGGAGTACACGGGGCAGGCAGAGTAGAGACAGAATCCCCCATTCTTCACACATTGGTAGTGGTCTGGTCGGTGGCCAAGACTTGTGAGACCAGCCCCTGCAGGGAGGGAACAGATGCGCTTCAGACTCCTGGCTTGGAGCTGCCCTGACTTTGGAAGATTTTGGGAAGGGAGGACAGACAAGAGGCCAAGCATGCAAGAGAATCGTCTCTTGCAAAGAGATTGCGGATAATTGATCTTTGGGGCTGTTAATAAAATTAGGCCCTTGAAGAGTTCGCTTGCCAAGGAAGAACTCCAGGGCCCGATGGGATTTCCTTTCATCCAGAGCCTTTAAGATATGCAGAGAACTAAAGTTACTCCCCAAATAAGTCTCCTACTCCTTTTCACTTTCCCCCAAATTCATGTCCTCTATTTTCCAAATGCTGAAGTGGTTGCTTGGCCATAAACACACTCTACACATTCCCACCTCAGTGACTTTGGTCATACAGATCCCTCTGACTTAAATCCCAGCTCCTATGCCTTCTACACCACTGTTTCTGCTGAACCCTATGATCCTTTACTGTCAGGATGAAGTTATGGTTCCTCTATAAAGACTTCATAGGTTTCTCCACTTGGAATTTATTCTGCTTTCTGCCTAGTGTCACAGAACCTCATAAATAGAAGATTGATAGACTAGTCTTCTGTGTATCCAGTAGGGAGCAAAGTCACTCTCTGACATGCCCGGTGGGTGACCGTCAGGCTACTGTTTTGCCCCTGTCGTTGCTGGTTGATGTAGGCTGACTCCCATCCCCTCAAAATTCCTAGATTGAAGTCCTAACCTCCATTATCTCGGTGACACACTATGTGGAGCTAGGGCCAATGAAAGGTTAATTGGGCCAAAGGAGGTCATTAGGGTGGGCTTATTCAGTATGGCTGGTGTCCTTGTAAGAAGAGTTGGGGACACAGACCACTGGGAGGGAAGATGAGTGAGGATGTGGAGAAGGTGCATCCACAAGCCAAGGAGAGAGGCCTCAGCAGAAGCCAACCGTATTAGCATTCGTGACCTCAGCCTTCCGGCCTTCAGAGCTGTGAGGAGATGCATTTCTGCAGCTTAAGGCCCCTGGTCTGTAGGAGTTTGTGTGGTCTGCACAGTCTACCACAGTAGGTCATCACCACGCTAGGAGGCAGGAGACTCTGACTTCCTGTGTGCTTGTTGGAAAGATGCTCTCCATACTGACGGAGTTCCTTTCAGGAACTTTTATCCAGGGGCTCTTTTCCTGCTCTGTGCAGTTAAGTCTAATCACTATTTAATTTTGAGTAATTTTACTTTCCCTCACTTTTCTCAATGCCTCATTTCTAGACCCTCCCAATCGTGTCCACAGTCCTTCAAATTTTCCAGGGGGCTTTCTCAAGACTGAGGCAGGAGCAAGCGTGAGGCATCCCAGGTATATCTCAGTGACCTAGAGCAAAGGTGCTTCGTTTGTTTTGGTTTGCTTATTGTAGAGCCATGTTGCTCGATGTGGCAGCAAGTAGCTCAGTGGTGCTGCTCACATTTAAACGAATTGGGATTTCAGTAGCCACACATGGCTCCTGCCTCCTGCATGGGTAGTGCACATGTAGAAAGCTTTCAGGACCACAGAATGTTCTGGTGCACTGCGATCGAATACAGACTAAGGAGAGTCATCATTCTGGTTCCCCTATCCAGCCCCTCAGTCAGAGAAGCATCTTGGGCCAAGGCTACTTGGCTGCTCACATGGAGCATCTCCTGGTCCCAGCTCATGGGTTCCTCCACAGCATACTGATCATACAGACGGTGTCCAGGATTGCCCTGTGTCTTCATAGCTACAGAGTGTTGACCTCCAGTAGGATCCTGGTCAACCGCACTCTCCTGCTGTGTCCAGGTCCAGCTTTGTCTCCTTTGCTGGGAGGCTTTCAGAGCTGGCCAGATTCTGAGGGAATGCTCAGTCTGCCCCCGCCCCCCCCTTCAAGGGATTACCAGTTGCTAGGAAGACATATGGAACCAAAGGTTTGACAGTTCCCGTAAATCGTGAAGGTCGGCAATCTTTCCTAGTCTTTGTTTTTCTCAATAATGAAGTTGCTTATCTCTTTCTCCAGTGAATGATGTTCTCTCTCTCACTGTCTGGGTGCAGTGAGGAGGGCCCAAACAGAATTCAGCTTTCCAGGGGCGACACGGATGTCAGAGCTCCTGTAATTCACCTTCTCCTCCACCTGCTCCCCAGATGGAGAAACTGAGGTCCTGAGGTGTCCCCAGGGCAGGCAGCCAGCCATGTGAAAGCCGGGAAAGGATGGCAGGACCCCGTCCCCCTCCCCAGTTCCCATTCCACCTCACCATGGTGCAGCTTGAGAGAGTGTCAAGGTAGCTAACGAGAACTAACTCCTGGGATTAGCTTCAAGAGCCTATTACATTATCTATACAAACAAAACAGTGATGAGCTCCATCCTCAGGTGCTTAGTTGTGTTATCTGTCCTAGAACTAATGTAGAGTGTGATTGTTTCCAGTATCCCACCTGTCTGTGGCCAGCTTCTCCGGTCTGAAGCTGAGGAGACCACTGTGTCCCACCTCTAACCTTCTCAGCCTGGCTGTTTTCCCTTTGGCAAGTGACTCACACACTCACAAGTTCGCTTAATCCTCCAAGGAATGCACGCCTTTTCCTTACCGGCAGGAAAACCATGGGGCCTATGTGGTTGCATCAAAGTAAAACTGAGATGAATCTCATGTGTGAAACTGCTGGGCCAGTGGTTTTCGAGTTCCTGCAGGTGTCGGAGCCTCCTGAAGGCTGTGAAAGCACAGCAGCCCTGCCTGTTCCCTGGGTTTCTGAGGTGTAGGGTCAGCACGGGGCGGCCACTTCCGTTTCTGACAAGGTCCCAGCTGAGCCTGAGGCTGCCGGGTCAGGGAGCCCAGGGAGCCTCTGTGGAGAATGCTGGGCCCTTCCCGTGGGGGTCTCTGTGCTGCTCTCCGTGCACTGATGTCACCAAGCACCAAAGTCGCTCTTGTGACATTTGCCTTCTCCTGTGACAGATTTGACCCACACCAAAATGGTATTAATATAAAAGCATCATATAGAAAGGCATAGTATGTCAGGGCCTTGTTATAAATCTAAGGAAACATAAGCAATACTTCTCATCAAAGGGAAGACACAATTTGAAATAAATTAACGAAGACCTAGAAAAGTGAAAATGCTATGTTTAAACATTTGAAGAATATATTTCAAATGTCAATTTTCTCTCTCTCTCTCTCTTTTTTTTGGTACCGGGGATCGAACTCCAAGTTAATCTTCAGATTCAACACGATACCTTAAAAATCTCAAGAGATCCCTTCAGTGCTACTTGACAAGCTGATTGTAAAGTCTGTTCGGAGAATCAAAGGGCTAAGCATGGCCAAGGCACTTTGGAGAAGAGGGTGGGAGGACTTGCTTTACAGGATTACTAATTACAGAGCCACTGTAATTAAGATGGTGTGGTGATGACACAGGACACACGGACAGACACTCGAGACAAGGAAAAGGTAGACGGAGGTCTGTGTGTAGAGAGTTGATGGAGGACAGCAGTGGGTCAGCGGGCCAGTGTGAAAGTCTCCTCAGTTATGGCAATGGGGTTCTCATGCCAGAAAAAACAACCTGACCCTTACTTCATAATGCGTGCACACGCACACACACACATGCATGCGCGCACACACACACACACACACACACACGCCTTTTGCCAGGTGGATTAAGCTCGGGTGTAAAAGGATAACCATATGCTTTTAGAAGCCAATACTGATAACTGTTCATGTTTTTGAGCTAAAGAAAGATTTCTTAGGATAGAAACACACTAACCCCAAAGGAAAAGATATATCACTTCCGTTTACACTAAAATCTTGATGAAAAATCTCCATTAAAAGAGGAAACAATAAAGACACAAGGTAAGAGGTGATATTTGAATTCCCTATAACAAAGGACTTAGTCGAGAATATAAAAAGAGCCACCACAAATCCATACATGAAGACAGAAAATCTGATAGAAAATGTGGATAAAACACAAATAACATTTCACAAAAGATATCCACATGCCTAGTAACTATATGCCAAAGTGCTCAACTTGCTATTGGGGAATGCAAATTAAAACTAATGCGATTGAGCTCACTACAGCTCACTAGCTGGCTAAAACTTAAAAGGAGTCAATTTTATCTAGTGTTGAGGATTGTGTGGGAACTCTTCCTCATCAAGGGAATATAATAAATTAATGTAAATAATTTTGGAGAACAGTTTAACATTCATTCATTATCTATTAAATTTGAATATGTGCATATCCTGAGACCCAGCAATTCTGCCTTCCAGGGTATAGAAATAGGGGCAAATAGCCTTATTTTGCCCGTTTAAACACACAAACCACCCTGCCGTCACGTGGACAGTGGGTGCTGACAGTGGGAGGCGCAGGGAGTGACCCAGGCCAGTTTGGGTCCCCTGGGCGGAGAGGCCGGGACTTAGCAGGCTCAGGGTGCCGCAGGCTGCAAAGTGCTCTCTCTGGCTCTGCCTCGGGGTCACGGGGTGCCCGCTGCACAGGGTCAGGAAGCTGTCCACCCGTGTCTGGTGAGCCTTCTGAATGCATGCTGTTTTTAGTAATTCAGAAAGTAAAAATTAGCAGTTTCTCCTGGGAAGGCCGTTCTCAGGCCCCAGAGCTCCAGCTCCGCTGTGCAGCCTCAGCGCCGGCTCAGACCTGCGCGGGTCGGTGCTGTCCAGAGCGCGCTGAGCCTGGGTAACGCGCGCCACGTCTGCTCCTCGCCTGTCCCAGATCCCCGCCCCCGCCCGGTGGGTGCTGCTTCTCGCCCTGGTCCTGGCGGAGCTGGACGGTGCGATGTTATCAGAATCGGTGACCCAGAGGCAGGGAGAGGAGAGCTGGGCGAGAGGCGTGCGGCGCAGGCGACTCAGGGAAGCGGGGCCGGGCCGTCTCCACGGGACGCACCCTTGTGAGGCCAGTTAGGCCAGACGGCCAGACGGCCGTGATCCTGCTTCTGCGACAGTGACAGCAGCTACTCTGCTGCTCAGGCGTAAGAAGAGCTGTCGGGTCCGTGAAGGGCGGTCGTGATCACGCAGCAGGAAGGGGCTGGGATGTACGTGTCACTGGCTCGTGGGGGAGAGCAGGGCAGAGGGAAGAGTGCCTTGTAGCAAGGAGCACACAGCAGGCTCGATTTCCACGGTGCCATCACAGTGCAAACCGCTGGCATGAGGAAGGGCTGACAAGGGCCTCCCTGCCACCCAGGGGAGGTACGCCCTAACACAGGGAGAGTGACCAACATGCCTCAAGGATGAAGTTGCTTTGAAGTCTTTTGTCTTTATATAAAAAAAGCCATGAAAATAAAATTTCTTAAGAAGTCGTTTTTGACTGAGATACAGAAAGGGAAAGAGCGTGCGAATGAACGTTCGCCAGCGAGGCCATCGGCAGTGGACCTCCTGGTCCTCCGTTTCTCTGCTTTAAAGCAACCAACAGCCTCCTGCTGGCCCTGAGATGGGCTTTGTGCGATGCAATCACAACTCAGCGAAAATGTTACCAGGGAGATTTGGAAGCACTCACTGGAAAATAGGTATCTTGGACTAAGCCACCGTCAGGTATGGATTGCCAAGGACAAAGGAGGGTTTGGAAGAAGACCTGGGCCTCTTGGCGCCCCCAGACTGGCTGGGCACAGCAGGCATCAGAGCAGGCTCCAGCAGAGAGGCCAGGGTTTGGGGTGCAGGGAAGCAGCCAATTAAACCCGTGTGTGAGGGAGACTCAGATGCCGGTCCCAGGTCTAGGCTTCCTAGCATTTGCTGCGACTGTGCAGCTCTGGTGCGAAGGTCACAGTACTGGCAGTTGGCATGGACTCCAGAGCAGTCCTGGATCGGGAATTTGCTCATCAGAGCCCCGTGGGCTGGGTTAAGTCAGCAAGTGCCCTTTCCCGGTCAGGGGAGGCCCACTGGTTCGTTGCCAGTGTGTGGGGTGGGAGCTGGAGCAGGTGGACTCCTCCCGTGGTGGGTACCAACAAAAGGCCAATGGCAGACTTCATGCCGCGGCTGCAGGAGCATAGCTGTGCTGATAGAAGGGTCCTAGCGGCCCCGTTTCTTCCCCTGCTCACCTCACATTTGTCTCTAATCCGCTGCCGCACAACCAGTCGGCCTCTAGACAGACCATAGCCCTCATAAAGCCACTTTCCACCCTTCCTCCTCCCAGCCAGGGTCCCTAGGGCTCAGCCAAACCCAGGTGTGTGTCCTGCCCACAAGGCCTTGGAGGATTCCTGTGTACTCCTCCATGGCCTCCTCCCAGCATCTGCCACCCCCAAGCCCGGGGTGTCCCTGTGGGCTGCATGGGGATTTTAGGCCAGGATTGGAGCCCCTGAGCTGCCAATCATTGGTCACATGACATGCCAAGTTATTTGTCCACAAATGCAGACAAGGGTTCTTTGTCCTCCTGCAGTCATACATGCTGTCTGGCCAACTATCTGCTCCCCCACACCCTGCTTTCTAAAGTCAGCTTTGTCCTGGTGCAAATGCAGATGGCCAGGGCACCAGACAGACATAGCCCTGAGTCAAGGGGGCCAAGGGCAGGTGGCATGAGGTGCAGTACCTGGCAGGGGGAGCTTAGAGTGATGGTCTCTGAGCACGTGGAGATGTTGCAGATGAAAATGAAAGCTCATGATGTTAGGCAGGCTGTGTTGACTCTTTTGAGTTTAGGTTGTAAGGAAGGAATGTCTCCTTGTTACTCAGTAGAGACTCACCCACAAAATCAAAGCAGAAGTCAAGCACAGAGTGGGGCTCCCAGTACCTGGCCTGTGAGACACTGTCTAGTCTAAAGAAAAACTCATTGCAACTTATTGAGGGGATTTCTCTCCCTCTGTGATGGGGGCATGAAATGGGCGGCATGAAGAACAGTACTTCGGAGGCTTCTGAGCCCAGTTTTCAGATGGGAAAGGGAGGCCTGAGTGGGACAAATTAGACAGATCTATAGGGCAACGCGACAGGGTCTCAGAGAGCTCCCAGCTGTGGTTTTGGCCCCAGCTGTGTTATGCTGCAGATGAGGAAACTGAGGCTCAGAGACACGGGACTTGCTCCTGGTCACTGTGACCGACAGAGCCAGGGAGGGAATGTGGTTGAGCCCTCTGCAGGGGCCCCCTCCTCGCCAGCAGGGGCTCTGCTGCTCTGTCCCAGAGGAGCTGGCATCCCTCGACCTGAGTCCCCTCCCTGAGCTGTGGAGGCCTGGCCTGGAGAAGGAGCCTGGGTTTCCTGGGCAGGGGCAGTTGCCTGTGGTTCCCTGAGGCCTGCAGGGGGCCGAGTCCCAGTGCTGGCTGAGCGGGTCTGGAGGAGGTTGGTGGCTCCCTGCCTGCAGCAGGTCACCAGGAGGGAGCAGCCCGGTGACCTGGGGGAGGAACGAGGTGCCTCTCTCCGGGTGGGAAGCTGGCCTCTCTGAGGAGCCCTCCTGCACCCTTCCCACAGAGCGTCAGTGTCCTAAGTCCCAGGGACAACACAGGGGTCAGAAGACTGAAGCAGCAGCTCAGTCCTGTGTCCCTGGGGGGCTCTTGTGTCCTCTGCTGCCCAGGGGACAGCTTGCAGCCCTGCTGGCTGGTGACGCAGGCTGCTGTCCTGCTGCTGGCCCCTTGGCCCGCTGATGGGGTGTCCTCAGCTCTCCTTCCCAGTGTCTCCAGCCCTAGGCCAGTGCCCAGCATGTCTGAGGCTTACCTGGGGCCGTGTGGAAGGAGAGGAAGCAGATGGTGAGCAGCAGCAGGCAGTGGGTCCTCATGGCGGCCCGGCCAGCAGCTGGGCTCTGATGCTGGAGAGGATGAGAACTCCCTGGGAGCTGGGCCTGTAGAGGCTTCCGGGGGTGGGGTGAGGCTGTATTTATGGGGTGCAGGGTTGCACAACTCCATGGACGGGCTAAAGGGAGGTGTGGCAATCCAGAGTGAAGCTGTAATAACTAGCTCTTCTGTAATTTGCCCTGAATAGACTCCAGGTCATGCGGCAGGTTGCCTCTGCCTGGCTGTGGCTGGATTTTCCTCTCAGCCTGGCAACCCAGTCCGCTTCTCAGCCAGGCCTGTTGGTATTCCAGGTTCCATGGGTCGGAGAGACTCTGGGGCAGGCAGCTCACGCTAGGATCCCTCCCGTGGCTGTGGTTCAGGGCTCGAGCGAGGACAGCAGCCCAGGCAGGTGGCCGGCTGGGTCTGGGCTGGGCCAGCCCCTGTGTTTAAGCATGTCCCTGAAGGCTGGCTTCAGACTTCCCCTCTGCCCACGGAGGAAAGTTCCTCTTCAGGCTCAGCTGCTTTCTCATGTCTCTGCTCTGTAGTACTTTCACCTGGAGTGGCCAACAGCAGGTTTGTTTATCTGATTGGACACAAGATCCCGAGGCTTTCCATCCTGACCCCCAGAGCCTGAGCCCCCAGTGTGCCCCAGAGGGCAGCTCGGTGACCCCAGGGAGCTGCCCTGTCCAGCTGGAGTCCTTCCAGTATCAGCCAGTCTCTCAGGATCGCTTTGGTCCATTAATTCGAAGTCTTTTAGAAATCTTGTAGTTATTTATCATTGACCCCTGCAGTGCTGTGAGCCCCTTCCTAGTGTCTGGATCAGGGGTCTAACCTGAAGTGTCAGAGGCTATGGCTGATTAGCCAGGGAGGAGTCTATGGAGTAGCTCTCAGAGCCACTGATGGGGCTGAGAACTTGCTTAGGCTCAGCTCCCGGGACCAGCGTCCACCCCAGGCCCAGTGTTCATCTCCGGGGGACCCTGGGCTTCACCTACAGTGCACACAGCAGCGACACGGGTCTAATTAGCCACTACCCCTGCCAGCACCAATCACGCACGTGTGTGTGTGTGGGGTGTGTGTGTGTGTGAGAGAGAGAGAGTTAGTTGGAAACTAACGGACCTTGGGCCATTCTCCTTGCAGCCCTGGTTGGTGTTTGGAAGCTATGTCTAAATTGCAGTGTTTGTCCCATGACCAGCGGCACAGTCATGGCCGTGGAAAAGAGGAGTGGAGAATTCCCCAAACAGTCAGAGGACATGAGCTATCCCGGGGGCAAAAACAGCAGGAAAAAAACCCCACCGGGAACATACTACATTCTCATTCATTCTTTCATTTTTCTGATTCGAGCACATTTATGTGATCCCCTTTAAGTGCCAGAAAATCGTGCAGTGACTTGGGGTCCGGTGAGAAACAAGCCGCAGGTGGGGAGGGGAGCAGACAGGGACTCACCCCGAGCTGGGCGGCTCGGGCTGGGGCACTGCAGGGCCTATCCCGGGAGCCACTGGCGTGACCGCCCAGGAGGTGAGGATCCCAGCCCTGGGCCTGCGCCTGCCTCTGCATGCCAGGCCGTGGGGTGATCCCCGGGGATCCCAGGGAGCTGCAGGAGGGGTGGCTATGGAGGCGGCCCAAGAACCACAAGGTTCCCTTCAGCAAAACTTAAAGAAGCTCGAGGGAGGTCTCAGCTTGGCGTGGAAAGGAGACCCACCTTTGCTTTCTTTGCTTCTCTCTTGTGGACATCACACGCCCTCAGAGAGGCAGCTAGCACAGAAGGCAGAGAAACGGGCTCTCTGAGAGACTGTTCCTGGTTTCCCATTAACCAGCTCTGTGACCATGGGCAATTTATTTCAGTTCTCTGCAGCCCAGTGGTTTTTGTCCTGGTGTAAATGGGATGACTTTACCTAGTCAGGCTATAAATGTAGGGGATAAAAAGATAAAGAAACAGAATCTCTGGACACTGCTGCAGCACATGGCACAAGAGCTTTTTGTGTCCGTGGACGCAGGGAGTGAAAGGGCTCAACAGCCAGGAAAGAAATCTGATTTTCAGGATTGGCTCTGCTTTGACCCTGGAGATAGAGTGTTTTCAAGGATCTGTCTAGAGAATCTCACCCATCCTGTGATTAACTTGCTGGTTTGTTTCTCAGAAGGCAGCCTGCATTCTAGAGTGGGCGCATCACAGTTTCCACCCATGACTCCCAAAAGTAGGCATGGGGCACTGCAGAGCTCCCCTGGGCCCCACAGAGGACTGAGGCACTGTAACCTTCCCTGAAGGCCGAAATGCCCAGGGCCTGCTGAAGGGGTGGGAGGGCACCCCAGGAACACGTGGTCAGGAGAGCTCACACACAACCAGATCGTGGCGTCTGAGTTGGGGGGAGACCAGGGCTCGGTCACTCACAGGTCCCAAAGGCTGGTCTCTGCATCAGGGCCCTGACAGCCTGGGGAGGAGGATGTCAGCCGGCCTGGGAGGGGAGACACAGTCTAGTGAGGGCAGGGAAGCCGAGACGAGCCCGAGGGCAGATGAGAAAGGAGCAGATGGAGACATACTGGCGACAGTTCAGGCATAGGAAGGACCAGGGGCCGTGTGTGTGTGTGTGTGTGTGTGTGTGTGTGCGTGCGCGTGCGCACACTCAGGCACAGAAGGCCCATAATGAAGAGTTGTGATTTTCCCTTTAGGTAAGAGGGAATCAGAGGACAGAAATACACCTGTCACCATTTTGGAACTATTCGCGTTCCAAGTGTGGGGCTCCACGGCCCATGACACTGTGAGCGCGGACAGGACTCTGGAGAGCCGGGCAGTAAATAGCTGCTGGAGAGGGCAGTGTGTGCTTGCCCCAGGCACGGCGGTGAGGCTGCAGGCAGAGCAGCAGCCACAAAACATGGGAGGGGAAGAGAGGGCTTGGGCTCTGTGTTCGATGATCAAGTCGGGCTGAGAGTGCTTGAGGGAGGGAGCCAGAGCGGGCGAGTGGACGATGGGAGGCGGGGGAGTGCGTGTGAGGCCCTGAGAGCCCAGAGTCACCTGGCCTGGTGCTGGGATTTTCTCTAACCCAGTGGACACAGCAGCGCCGGCGGGGATCCGGTTGAGGAAAGGGGTCTGAGAGGCCGAGGTTGAACTTTCCTCTCTGGGCTGCCCACCCTTCCCGGGTGCACTGTGAGGAGAGCCTGCTTCCCGGGGCTCAGAGCAGGGTGCCCCTGCCCAGGGAGGCGGAGGAGAGAGCCCTGGGGCGTGCCGGCGTGGGCTGGTCTGAGCCTGGGATTTGTTGCAGTTGGTACTGGTTTCCACGCGCACCTGGCTCTAAGTGGATACAGCTGCCTGAGCAGCACTGAATCTTTGTCCCCCGAAGCTGTGTGTGCAGAGCTTGGGCTTTTGGAAGGCGACCGATCATGTGGGCACTGTGCTCATCAGTGGGTTCATCCCTAGCTGAGTGCGCTGTTGGGAGCGGAGCCTGCTCAGGAGAGTCAGGTCACTGGGGGTGACCGGAAGGGTGTGTCTCCCTCCCCAGCACCTCCCTCTCTGTCCGCTTCCTGGCCCCCACGATGTGAGCCGCTGTCCTTGTGCTCTTCCTCCTGTCAAGCCGGTGACCACGCCTAGACTGAGGCCCCTGAAACGGTGAGCGAACCCTGCTCTGTGTTGTGGCTGTCGAGTATTTCCCATCCACGGTGGGAAAGTGGCTAAGACACCCCCTGCTCCCCGCACCGGGCGGGCTCCACGGTCCTTTCCCACTCATGCTCCAGGTCCTCCTTTTTTTCTGGCTGCCTAGGATTTGTGTCCACTCGTCCCTCATTGGCCCCGTGTCAGCTTCTGCTTCGGGTCTTTCTTCCAGTCCTTTGCTGTGTTTATGAAGGCACTGAGGGACTCGGCTGCCTCTGCTTCTGCAGCTGGTGGGCGTGCTCCAGCGGCAGGGTGCAGAGGAGTGGGGTACAGGCACCGGCCTCCGGATGCTCCAGCGCCTGTCTCTAGCCAGGGTCTCCCCAGCCCCTCCTGAGGAGCCTTCCCTCACCTCTGCCCCTTGCCTCACCCTGGCTGGTGCGTCAGGTGCCCGGGTCCCGCTTTGCCCACGGCAGTGGCTGCCTTGTCCTCCGCGTGCCTGTCTCCCCGCCAGGTTTGGTGAAGTTCGAGGCTGGCGAGAGTGGAACCCCGCTGTCTGCTCCACGGGGGGAATGGAGCTGGGCATAAATAACCAGTCTTGAGAGAAGTGAATGAAGGGTGCTGCTGTGGGCGAGATCTGTCCTCCTGAGGCCCACAGGTGGACTCTAGCCACAGGGAGGCTCCTCTCACCGCCAAAGTCGGCCTGAGGCTTCCTCTGGGACTTCACCCTCCGGAGCCCAGGGATGGGATTTCTGTTGTTGAAGCTGCCAGCCTGCGGTGTTTGCGGTGGTGACACAGGGGTGTGAACTTGTACCCAGCCTCTGGTCACCTGGCCACACCTTCCTGTGCCCGTCTGCTGTCCTGTCTTCCGAGTTTTACCACAGCAGCTGTCACCCCACCATGGTCCAAACAGCCTGAAGGCTGTAGAGGTGGTGCACATCTTCCTTGAAACCGCCATGTTTTTTATTGCTTTTCAGAGAACTGTAATATTTTACAGTTCGCCTCTTTAGGGAGGAGCTTCAGGTTTTTCCATTATGCTTGTTTCCTTTTGTTTTGAATCTGTACAAATCCCATAAGCAGCGGGCACCATCACCAATGCTTTCCCTGGTTCCCTCCTCTCCGCTGACCGTGAGTACGGTCTGCACAGTCCTGTGCTTGGTCGCTGGTCTCTAGGACACATCTCACAGGCCACGCAGTGGAGCAGGCGCTGTTGGTGTCAGGTGTTTGTCACACCTGCAGAATTCGTGACCTTGGCGTGCAGAGGGAGGGGTGGGGCAAGGGCCAGGCCGGGCAGCCCTGCCCCGGGGGCCTCTCCTGTGAAAGAACACGCAGATGCAGTCCTTTCTTTCAGGGTTGAGGCGGTTCAAGCCAGCTCAGGTGCTCCTCAGAGTCGGTCTAAGCTGCAGGCTGGAACTGGCTCCTCAGTGCCAGAGGAAGAAAAATGAAAGGGCTGTCTTGACCAAGCACCACGCGGGGCAGGCCCAATGCCACCATGGTGTCCAGCCCTTAGCACCGGAAGAGGCCTTGTCTGAAGCGGGGTGAGCCTGCCCCTGTGCCAGACGGATTGGATTCTGCTCTGTGTTCTCTCTAGAGACAGGGCCAGAGGGTGCCTTGTGCCCGATGCTTCCGTCAGGTGGGGCTGACAAAGGTCGCGGCCTGGGGGCCGTGTGGACTGCATGCGCTCGTGATGAGAGGCGAGGAGTGTTTAGTGAGCCCAGGTTCTCACAGTGCTCACCTCTCCCCTTAGTGCGGCCCTGTCCCGCAGAGAGGAATCAGCCGCAGGTCCAGACTCCAGCCCGAGGGAGGTGCCGGGAGTCCAGCAGCCGAGGAGCGTGGCCCAGTGGAAACTTTCACATGTTCCCAACAGAGAGAAATACAGAAGCTCGAGGTGATAGATGTGCCAATTAGCCGGATCTCTACGTGCTGTATACCTGTATGGAAAGACCACAACTCCCCATAAATATGTACAAGTACTTTGTATTAATTAAAAATAAAATTAGAAATCCTGAGAGGTTGTATGTAATATTATATTTCATCATTCTGACAGATTTAAAGCATGCAGCATACTGGCGTTAACGATCTTCACATTTTTATATAACCTCCACCAATTTCCTTCCATAGAATAATTTTCACCTTGCAAAATGAAAACTACCATTTGCATGTCAATGTTTTTATTAAAGTCAATGTGTTTCACTTTCAACTGGTTGATTTTTCTCCTCGTTAGAGGTCATCCTTTTCTTCTCTGTACTCAGATTTTAGGTTAGAAGCCGAGCATTGTGAATTTCTCCTTGTTGGTGCTGGATATTCTTGTAGGATGGCCTCTCCGGGTGTTTTTTCTCGGTTTTGGGTGGATTGGGGTCTGCAGGTCTCAGATGTGTGCAACCTCCTTTTCCGCGGGATGCTGTGCCCGGGGTCCCAGGCGCGTCTCCCCGGGACAGGGACGCCTCCAGAGTCCCCAAGCTCCTCCCCCCCGTGCTGCTGCAGAGGGCAGCTGGCACAGCTGGTGGCTCTGGGCCTGGACTCCCGCGGCTCAGGGACCACGTCTCTCTGGTGCCCGATGTCTGGTATCCCGAGAGCCATCACCTCACCTGGAGCTTGTCCTTGGGTCTCCTCTTCATTGTCTTAGGGCGGTCCGCATCCTGTGGGCCTTGACGAGGGCAGGGAGCCGTCTGCATCACTGCAGGCGGGCCTCTCACAGGCAGGCACCATGTTTCTGACCTCTCTCAGGAACCCGACAGCACCAGCTTTCCGCAAGTGTCTCAGCGCCATATTTAGGACACACGAGTTTGCGACGTGAGTGTGTCTCACTGCTGGATGCCAGTGCTCAGGTCCGCACGGGGGCTTTTCAAGTTCCTGGGCTTTCAAACGCCACTGAAGATTTTCTTTGAGAAGTAAATACTATTTGCAGATATTGAAATTTCTATTTAAAATCTTTCTGGAAATATAACCTTGGCATTTTAATCAGTTCTGATTGATTTGTTAAAATAATTACATGGAAGTTTTTTTTGTTTTTGTTTTTTGTTTTGCCTGGTTGGATGCACTGCATGCACTTTGAAGAAGCACAAGGCTGGTATTAATTCTTCAGTTCATAAAAGCTCTAGTTAGTGGCCACCCTCTCTTTTTCTACAGCCATATCCTCCTGCTCTACCTCGTAGGGCAAGTCTTAGAGGTGGAGACAGGGGACAGGCACCCTTTCCTTCCAGCCCGGCTCCCACGTCGCCCTCCACCTGTGTTACACCACTGAGCATCCTTCACTGGCCAAAGCCATGGGTGTAGGGGACAACACTTGTCGCCACTAGGGATCTGTCCCCCGAGGGGGCTGCAAGCTGTGGTCTGAGGATGGGACTGAGGATGGGGAGACCCTTGCTGGGGAAGCTGCCTGCCACCGTGGATGCCAGCTTTGCACTCTTAGACCCAGAACTGCTGCTTCCAGCCTTGGAGTACTGAGCTGGAAGAGACTCGCTGCACCTGTTCCGGAGAGTTTCTGCTTCTCCGCTTACCACCCCTCAACCCGAACAGCTGTGCACATGCTCCTCCATGCATCAGGCCTCACGAACGAGTTTTTGAGTAACCAAGTGTTTCTGGAGTTTAAAAAAGTAAAGACAAAATGAACGTGGCTCCCCTCATTCAGACATTTTCCTTATAAAGGGAGCGATTCCCAGAGTGAAGGGATTGCGTCCAAATCACAGCGCAAACCTTGAAGCAAGCCCTGGCAGGGTTCACTGAGCTGCCCAGGTAAACAGGCTGTGATTCACCTGACTGGGTTGGGTGCCCCGGGCTGGGCGGTATGGTGCTATAGGGCCTTGCAGTCACTTTTTGCCCTTGAGCTTGGCCCCGGTTCCTCGGAGTCTCAGAACCTGAGCATACATAGGGCTCTCCAAGGTCTTTGATATAAAGAGCTGCATGTGTTTCATATCAAATAAGATCAAGATTCCCCTTTGTTGGATACCCACTAGGGTGCTTCTTTGGAGGGAGATACATAGATCCAAATATCCATGCATAATAATATATGATATATACATATATATTGGAATGCTGGAGTTGAACACAGGGGTGGTCACATGCCACACGTACACCAAGCATGCACTCTACCACTGCCCTACTCTCCAGATCGGAGGGTGTTTCTCACTGGAAACAAAGGCAACTGGAAGCATAAGGGGCGATTTGCTCACCCAGGTAATTTTGGCTACGAAATAAGTGTTGCTAGCCTCGGAGGAAGACAAACCCACACTGTGTAGGCAACTGTCAGTTCCATCAGAAATCTTCCCTTGGCCTGGGAGCAGCTCATTGGCAGAGCACTTGCCTAGAAATCTTCCCAAACCACTTCATGCACAACCCACATTTCTCCATGGATTGGGCACCGATTTTCCTGGAAGTGACATCAGGAGCCTAGAGCTGCTGATGTCCCCAATACCTGGCAGGCACGAGCAGAGCTCAGGGAGTGAGGAGGTTGGGTGGGAAGCCCCAGCCAAAGGGCAGGATGGCCTTTGTCTTTGGCAAGTTTGGGCCATCTGCCACCCTTGGACTCCTCCCCTTAAAAGGAGAGGGGAAGTTTTCCTTTTGATATGTTAGGGACTAGCATCCTGTCAGGGTCCCTCAGTGCAGCCTCTTGAAGTGGCCCCTGCATCTCAGTTGCCAGCAGCGAGGCTCGAGTGCTGGTCCTTTGAACACCTTCCTGGACGATTGCCACACAGTGAGGTCACTGCTTTGTACTTTCACATGCCTAACATATTCCCCAGATCTGAAAACACACACTTTTTCAGTTTTAACATTTTGAGGTAAGATGAATCTAAGAATTGATATAAATAATTGATAGGGTCAATTCCCCTCCCTATTATGCCCCAATACATAACAAATTGTGAATCCTATAGTCAGCAGTATTTTTAAATTAAGGAAAATTTTTATTTCATTTCCAACTTTGTAGTAATCTCATGAAGTAGGCTACGTATGAATGATCCCCACTTCACGGAAGTAGGTTCCAGTAGGTTAGGCACATTATCCTTTGATTTATTTATTCAACTAAGTCAATAACAACCATCTTCTGTTGTGGGAGGGCTGGGCTTGATTTCTGGTGAAGGAAAGAAAAATAAAGACCTAATCCATATCCTCAGGAGTCTGCAGAGTGAGGGCATCAGAGGAAGGAGAGGTCAGACACATTCATGGCTGGGCCCCACACTGGCTCTTCTGGTCCCTGCTGGGAGCTGTGGGAGAGGAGAGGCCAGGTCCTCTGGGACTGAGACAGGCTCGAAGAGGAAGCAGCACCTATAGAGAACCCTGAAGGCTGCGCAGGAGATCCAAACAGGGATGCTGAACCCTGGCATCTTACCAAGGAGCGTATTGCAGAGATGAGTCATGGGCTTTGGTGGCAGAAAAACATGTTTATTGTCCTGTGCTCCCAATGCACCCAGGGCAACTTGCCAACCCTCTTGCCACCTTTTGCTTCCTGGGGAGAATAGAGGCTGATGTTGGGATGAGGTAAAGCAGTGTCAGCCAAGAGCCACTTGGGTTCACTGTCTTTGCCCCTTTGGAAGTAGGGTAGAACTCAGAACTGAAATTATCATGAGGGAAGGAAGAGATGAGTGGCCTGGCCCTGCTCGGTGGAGGTGGAGGTGGAGCAGAGGCTAGAGCGGAGCTGCCCTGTGATCAATCCTTGGGTTGCAACACACTGTAGGTTCTTTGGGATGAGCAGAAAGGATCCACCCTGCCCTCTTTCCCTTAGTCTGCTTTTGCTCTGTATCTCAAGCTCACAGAGGCATCCCAGGGTTGAAGGGTTGCAGAGGGAAGGGCTCTGACTCTGGGATTCAAGACCATGCCATCCCTGGGGTGACACTCGTTCCGCTCTGCTGTGAACAGGCAGGACAGCACAGCTCTCATTCTGTGCATGCATGGAGTGTGGGCACTGGATAATTTTGAGTCTTACATTCCCTGCCGGAGGAGGAGCACAGGTAGCATTTGTGCAACACAAGGGCACCGCCTTCAGTTGGGCTGGAGTGAAGTCTCTCCAGAGCTGCAGTTCTGAAGCTGCTATTGAAAAGATGGGCAGAAGATGTTGAGGCAAAAGAGGGGTGAAGGGAGTTTAGAGAGAGAGAGGGAGAAAATGGAGGGAGAGGAAGAGATGATGCCTGTTCCTACAAGGGGAGCAGAAGCCCTAGTGCATTCCTTCCTAGGAAAGACAGAGGTGCATCAAGGCAACGAGGTGACTGAGGAGAGAGGAAAGCAGGTGGGGAGGGTCCCCTAAGGATTTGGGACTTTCCTCCAGGGATGTGGGGAAATCATCACAAGTTTATAATGATGCTGTTTTCTAATATGGTGGTAAATTACACATAACCTAAAATTAACCATTTTAGCTATTTTAAGTATCAATTTCAGTGGCATTCAGCACACACACACTGTTATCTAAGAATCTCTGCCATCCACCTGAGGACACTTTCATCTTTCTGGACAGACACTGTGCCCCTTAAACACGAACTCCTCACTTCTCCTTCTCTGGCTCCTGAGCACTTCTATTCTATTTTCTGTCTCTTATGGGTTTGGGCATGCTAGAGTGCTCCGATAAATGAAATCCTACAATATTTGCCTGTTATATCTGTCTTTCATGAAGGCTAAGTTACAAGGCTGTTACCATGTGATACGTGACTAACTGCCTTTGTCACACTTCTGTAACCTTGCTCCCACCCAGTTTCATGTAACTAGAAAGACCGCCCCCCGCCCCCCCCCCCCCCCCACTTTGACCAAATTATAAAACTGGAACCTTACCTTTGTTCATCACTCTTCCTTTGGACAAGAGTCTGTTGAGCCAGTGTTCACCTAAAACCTGAAATAAATCCTCCTGACTTCCATTGATCTCTCCTGTCTCTTGGAATTCTGCAACACATTCAGTATAAGGCAGACCCAGTCACTGGCCCAGCTAACTCCATTTTCTCCCTTGTTGAGTCCTTTCACCTCTTTACTGCATTTTTCTTTGAGTCACTCTTGCCATTGTCTTCAATTCTAGGAATAGATTTGATTGACAGGGACCAGAACTACCCCTAAGCAACTGTGAGCCTCTGGAATAGATTACCCATGATGAAACTACCCCCTAGGTAGGAGCAGTTTCCCCACCATAGAGATGGAGGCTGCTTACCTTGCAGGGGCCATCATCTCATGATGAGAGACAGATTGCCTCCAGGCTTTGCAGAGCCAGTCCTGAGAAAATCATCAGCCAGACTACAGCTTGACCACAACCTCCTATCCTGCATCTGTGCATAACCCCCACCCATACAAACCCCTACCCTTGGCTTTTTTCCTGTAGAACTTCAAAGCACCTGTCAATCCCTCAAAGACAGACCTTGAGTTCCTGAACCTCTGTATCCATCCTTCCTGGTGTGGCCAAGCTGGGTAAGGTTCCTCTTGTCCTTTTGATAGGGATGCTGGGATGGGTGGCCAGGGTGAGTCTGTTGGGTTGGTTTTTGTTCTGAAACTCCATGACTCACAGGGCTTCAAGGTGGACCCAAGCAGGGCAGTGTGGTGCTGTGATAGCCAAGGGTAGAGAAACATTTTTGGAAAAAAGTGGTGCAGTGAGAGCTAGAAGAGAGCTCACTGATTTTAACAGCACAGAAGTTAAGGTGGAGAAGGCGATGAACGTGGAGGGCAGGGCACACACGAGATGAGGGTGGGCTAAGAAGCTGCAGAAACTGAGACTGGTGCTGACCACCTGTGTGTTCTTGACCCAGTTGATCCATCCCTCTGAGCCTTTCCCCCTCTGTTTCCAAAATGACACACTCTGGACACTCAAATGACATCCAACACCACACATCAGGTGTGCCCTCAGGAGTGGAGGGTCCAAGGGACACGCCTGCCGGAGTTGAGGCTAGGTCCTGTCAGCATGTTCTGACGTTCTTGACCCTGTGGCTGACTTCCTGCTTTCCCTGTTCCATAGCGAGCCAACAACAAAGGAGCCTGAGGAGTTCCCCATTGGTATCTTCAATGTCTGTTCTCAGAATATTTGAGGTATGGAGGACTGGATGACCCAAAGGGACCAGCATCTTCTGCTGTGGAGAAACATTCAGGTCGCCTTCAGTCACCTTCTGGGGTTTGGTTTCTGAGTGGCAGAGGAGAGAAGGTCTGGGCTGTGGGCTCAGCTCTGGCCCTGTGGCCCTGGAAAGCCACAGCTTCCCACTTCTGGAGTCCTAATCTGACACATGGACATGTCTTCAGCTAGATAACTCAGAAATGCATTTCCTCATCGCAGGTGTGTTTACAAAGAAGTCCCTATTGGAGAAGGTTGTTGTCATCTTTTGGACAGAAAGACACATCTCTCCCAGCCAGATACTTGCATACCTATCATCACAGTTAGGTCCCAAAACTACTTTAAGAGCTTTGTATTGTTACTTCCATTTATAGCCAAGGATAGTAAGTCTCAGAGGCTATTGACTCACTCAAGTGAGAAAGAGACCATTTGTACCAGGTAGAAGTAAATTGTGTTTGGAAGGAATTTGTGGGAGCATTGGCCAGACATACATATGAGATGGACTTGCAGAGGTGAGGGACTTCTGGAGTCACAAGCTGAAAACCTTCCGGAAGGCATGGTTAGAGCTGGAAAGAGCCTACAGGGCCACAGGTCCAAGTAGGATCAAAATGCATTGCCTTAAAGGAATGAGTGCTCGGGCTTTCATTCTCCCCACACTCTGATTAATCATTTAGATTGGCCACAAGGTCAGTCATTTGACAGACCACCCTGACCTTCCCCTGTCCCTCCCCTGTCCTTGTGTGAGTTCCTGCGCAGATGCCCTTCATTTTTCTTTTATCCTCACTTCCTGGTTCTATCGATGAAAAGCCACAGAGGCCTCAGTTCGGGCTGTCCTTAGACTCTCTCACACTGAGGGGTCTTGGTTAGCGGCAGCCCTCTGGGCCCTCTGGAGTACGGATAGACATTGACTCTGAGTAATGTTTCATCCTGTGCCGTACCTCAGTCGTGAGCTGAGACAGGAACTATGATGGAAACCAGAAATGATCACCCGCTCTTCCTGGAAAAGGAATTGGTTAGGACGCCAGTGCTTGGAAAAACAGTGATCTGAGAGTAAATTTCACCCCTCAGCTGTGTCCTAGCTATGCCCATTCTCTGGGACTCTTCTGGCTTTCCCACTCCTCCCTGTACTCCTGCCTGCGTCTATGCCCTGGTCTCATTCCTCCACCCCAATCCTGCTTCTCTTGTGTATTGTCTGGAGCAGGCCATTTCCCTGGCCTGGGCACTCTTCCTCATCACACAGCTGGAAGTGGCAACTGTCCATCTGCCCAGGCCAGTGAACCTTTCCTGACCTTTGTCAGCTTAGTGATGTGGCACTGCCCAATATTTGTTGCATTTTGTAGTTCCTTCCTGGTTCTTCTGTATCTGCTTTGAATTATAAGTACTTGTCTCTTTTTTTTTTGATACCGGGGATCGAACTCGGATCCTTGTGCTTGCGCAGCAGGTGGCTAAACCACTGAGCTAAATCCCCGGCCCAAGTTCTTGTCTCTTTATCATCTTGGTATTGCAGCAAGAAGGTAAGTTGTCTTTGGATTTCATACAAAGTAAACCCTTGACAACAGTCAGCACATAACAAAGCCTCAGCAGCTACAAATGCATCCTTGATTTACTGTTCTTGGGCTCATTTGTGTGTTCACTGAATGAGCAGCTGATCATGGGTTGGTGGTAGGTCTCCCACTGGGTACAAAGTCACAACACTGAATAAGACATTCTGTTGACAAGTGTGGGCAAAGCACCCCATTAAGTAGTTGCTCATTTTGCCTGTGGTGTCCTCTGCCACCCATCTCCGCTGTGGCTCCCAGCCTGGCAGGTGTGCAGGGCAGGTTAGAGATCACTGGGCTCATGCTCTCCTGTGTTCCTGTGAGGTGAGCATCTCCAAGTCTCCGTTTCTAGATGAGGAAACTGAGGCTCAGCAATGTGGCTGACTTGCCCAGTGTCTCACCCTAAGCTGGGTAGCCTAGCTAGAATATGAAAGGGACAGAAAGAAGCTGCTATTGTCACTTGTGGGTCGCTGGGTTGCTTTTGCTGTCTTCTGCCTGCCATACCCTGTTTCTCCTCTGCGATCCCCCTCTGCCTTGTCACCCTGCCCTAGAGCCAGCCAATTATGCACTGAAACCTCTACAAACTGTGAGCTATCTAAACTTTTCCTCCTTTAACTTTGAGTGTCAGGTATTTTGTTTCAGCAACGAGAAAAGTGACGAAGACACCCTCCCTCCCTCTTGCCTCCTTCCACCTGTTTGTCCCCATTCCTTTTGCAAAAGTTCTATCCCCTGTTCCTTAGTGTCTACCTTTTATCTTGTACTTTAATTTATTTGTACTTTGGGTTTCTCTTATATGAGCTATTTAAGCTTGTGTGTCTGATTTATTTCACTTAACATATTGATCTTGAGGTACATCCATCCATTTTCCTACATATGACTCAGGTTTGTCCTTCTTTATCGCCAGGTCTGATTTCTGGGCTCATGGTGCTTTCAAGAGTCTAAGGGAGGACAAAAGAAGATTTAAGCAGGCAGGGGGAGAGGCTCCTGGGAGCAGGGGAGGTGAGAAGGAAGAATCTACTGGGGGCTTCAGCAGCCTTCTGTGAGGGTTCTGCCTCTGGGGCTCAGCCGGGTGCCTGGGCATGGTGGAGCATGGGCCCCATGCTCCTTGGAGCTGAGCACCCAACCAGGTGGGGAGCAGGTCTCCCCCCAGATTTCCACAAGCTTTGATCTCACCTCCACCCACGGATTTCAAAATCACCATTTCCATTAAAAGTGCTCAGAATCAAAGCAGGCTTTATGCTTTAGTGTACTGATAGCAAAGTGTTTCAGAATGGCGAATGGCAGCTGTCTAGCGGGGAGGAAGGGATGTCCCATTGCCCCCACAGCTGCCCCCTGGTAAGCTGAGGCAGGCCAGGGTGGGGGCTCGGCAGGGCATTGTGCAGCTGCAATGCTCTCATTGGCTCAGGACGAGGCTTCCGGCACAGCGCCCGAGCTCTGGTATCTTCCCACGCTGCACGCGCAGCCTCACATCCGGGCTGCATCCAACAGGGGCAGCCAGAGTCGTCACAGGGCTTTTCCTGGGCCTCCGCGTCTCACTCATTGATGACAGGCTTGCACTGACAGACCCCTGAGCTCTGCTTTCTTAAGCGGAGCCTTCACCCAGAAAGGATCCTCGCCTCACTGGAGGTCGTGTACCTTGGTGCCCTTTCCAGTCCTGGTCTGGGTCATGGGGTGGCAGCTCATGCAGCGGCGGACCGCAGGATCAGGAGGTCAGAACCCAGTTACCTCCCCAGGGACCCTGGTGGCCTTGGACAGGTTACTTAGGGCTCGTGATTGAGTTTCCCCCGTCGTGAAGTGCTGCAGTGAGCGTGTCTGGGGACTGAATGTCTTTACGGAATTACACAGCAAAGGCCGCTGGGCCTCATTATCGCTGCTCTTTCTGTGGCGTCTGAAGGCCCTTCATGCTCCTTGAAGGCTGGGGCTTCATCCGAGTCAAGTTTGAATTCCCACAGCGAGGCTTGCCCGGGGCTCTCATGACGTCTCTGAGCTGAGTCCATGCCTGCCGTTCCATTCTGGGACCCGAGTGTCCCTGCTTCAGTGCTAAGGTCAGAACTCAGAGGGTCTGAGTGCCTGAGCAGTGTGTGAGGGTCTCAGAAGTTGTCTGGCTTTGCCTTTGCCTTCGGGAAACTAGTATTTATTCTCACTGAACAAACAAATGTGTTTTCTCTGTTAAATGTAATGTGATGTGTAGAGTTTTCATTTGTGTGCGATCACGGAATTTACTAACATTAATATGTAGCTGAACAAAGCCGAGCCAGGCTTATGAATATCATTTCTACATTAGAAATCTTAAAATAGTATGTGATGTGATAAAATAGGCAAAGCTAATAAACGGGCTGGGGGAATTCCAGGAAGCACTTTATTCTCTCCCTGCTCCTGCACAACTGCCCCTTCTCAGAGGTGGACACTGGTGACATTGGCTGCTTTTCTTTCTTAGACACTCGGTTTTTTTCTCTGCATTTATACATGAGAACGTGCACAGGGATATAGGCTATTTTCTTGTTTTCCCCAAATGAATGTGCTCAGGTGACAACTGGATTAATGAACCAGCTTTGTCACTTCGAATTTATTGTGGAGAGCCTTTCTCGTCCCCTTGCCCCTGGCTCCCTTTCTGACACCTCTGTCAGAGACCTCATGAGCTCTCCTGGGACCTCTGTGGCTCCCAGCCTGGCAACCACCCAGGAGAGTTTAGGGAGGGGCTGCTGTTTCTAGAAGGATTCTAGAAGCCGCTGGTTCTAGGATACAAGGAGTGGCTCGAGAGGTTGGAGGGTAGAAATCCTTAAGCAGCACAGGATGGAATGCAAAGGGCTTTCTAAGCCAAGGGATCCTGGCTGTGTGGCTGAGAGAACATCTCCTATTACAGGTCCCATTTTCCAAGGCACTAAGAGAGCAGAGGCCACTGTGACATGCACACAAGGAGCCTTTTTCAGTCCTCCCCTTGGAAGAGGCTTTGGCACTGCTTTCAGATTGATGTAGACAGACGTGGCTGTGACTTCCCCCGGCAGCCTTGCTTTTGTTTAGCTCTGAGAGTTTGTGCTTCCATAGAAAAACTGAGTGGACCATTGGACCTCTGTGTTCCCAGGAGTCCTCCTCCTGCCCCTCACTGCCTCACCGCAAAGCCCATGCCTCTCTGGACAGACTCCTGCTCTGCACAAGCCACAGCTGAGGAGAGTTTGGCAAACAGGCACAGGCCCAAGGAGAATTCTTGGATGAACGAAGAGATGCAAAGCAAGAGCTTAAAATCAAGGCATGTTCTGTACCCTCAGTAGTACTAACGTCTTGGACTGATCAATTCTTTGCCATCAGGGTTCTTGTCGCATTGTTGGGTGAGTGTTTGTTTAGCAGCTCTCTCTGCTGGAGCACCCTGGGCTGTGACAACCAGAAAAGCCTTTGCCCAATGTCTTAGGGGTGAGGGAATGGATGGCTTTGTGCTGGGAACTTTGAGGAGTGAAGTTACTTAGGGTGGTGTTCCAGGGAAGGGAGGCTGGGGAGGAGAACAGCTCCATCCTCACGTGTTTGAAGGCTTTGCCGAGTGAAGAATGAAGTCCTGTGCAGCCAGGAAAGTAGAAGGCTGGGCTTCGGGAGGCACCGGTTTGAGGAATTGCTCACTGCTGACCAGGTGTGTGGTCTTGGGCAAATCATCTGCACTTCCTGTCTCAGTTTCAACACTGCTGCTGGGGAGGAGAATTACAAAGTCCTACTCACAGAACTGCGGAAGATAAATGCAGTGTGTTTGGTCACCACTATCATAAGGTACATGGAACTTGTTCTTTACCATTATGGATACCCACAGTTGAATCAAAAAATCGATTTTGGCTAGACAGGAGTGTAATAAGTACAGTGGTTCAGCACTCAGGCAGGAGGCTGCGAGTTTGTGGAGGAAATGAAACCAAAGCTGAAAAGCTATCTGAGGTCTCCTTACTTATGATGTGATGCGGTTTCTCTTTCTTGTTCACCTCAGCCCTGATCTTCCTATTCCTATACCTATTCCTACCTGAAGAAAGTCTTCTATCATCTTCTAAGCAGCCTGTGAGCTTACCAGCTGTGAGGGAGGAAGGTTTGAGAAGTTAGTCTTTCCAAAACAACAGTGAGCTGCGCTTCTACACCATCTGGCTGAGATTTGGGTTCTGGATTAGGAAGCTTTCTTGGTAACCTGGGCTCCATGAGGCTTTCAGACAAAAGACTTGCTGGCCTGGTCATCCACGCAGGAAGAGCCTGGACTGAGGTTTTTCTTGGTGCACCGTGAACTCTGCTGGTGTCGATACGAGAAGAGTGAGTCCTGGTTGTGGTCGGTTGTCAGAAGACTGCTGAGGACTTAGTGGAAATAAGGTCCTGGATTTTCCAGAAATCCCCCAATCTTGCATTTGGCCAAGGCAGCAGGGAAAAGAAGGAGCTGAGTGAGGCAGGGATGCTGGGGAGACAAGATCACAGGCCATGGTGTCAAGGTGAGACCTCAGTGCCCTGTGTGTAGTAGAAGCCAAGGGATGCGGCGTTCTGATGTCAGGGACCCAGGCAACTCTCCTGGTAGGAGGAGAGCTGCCCAGAGCTTCTGCTTTCCCGAGCATTCTCAGATTTATCTCTGGACACCCCATAGGGAGGACTTGTGGGTGAGTGGCCTCACACCCCACCATCTGCACTGTGTCTTCCCCAGGGGCCTGCTCAGGACCTCGGAGGGACAGCAGGCCATGCACAGGGCTCAGGACATGGCTCAGAGTGGAGCCTCACCTGAGCAAAATGGCTTCCTCCCTGGGAGCCACAACTTCCAAGTCCCCAGCGTCTTCCGCTGAGCTGTCACCGCAAGCTTACGTCCTCTCAGTTTATCTTAGGATCTGACCCTAACAAGCAGAGAAAAGCAAATATTCACTGATTGTACCTATCCTGCCATACACTCTTATTTTTTAAATTACAGTGAAAAATGCATGAGACAAAATTTACTCTCTTAACTATTTCTAAATGCAGAGTTCACTGGGATTAAGTATTCACATTATTTTGCAACTGCTAAAAACATCCATTTCTAGATATTTTTTCATCTTCTCTAATTGAAACTTTGTACCCACTAAACACTATCAACTCTTCTCCCCTCGGACTCTGGCACCCGCCATGTTACTTTCTGTCTCTATGAATTTGGCTACTTTGGGACCTCATATACATGGAATCATATGGTATTTGTTCTGCTTATTTCATTTAGAGTATGACCTCGAAGTTCATCTTTGCTATAGTGTATGTCAGGAATTCTTTTTTGTGTAATACTCAATTCTCTCTCTCTCTGTCTATATATATGTATTATATATATATGTATATGTGTATATGATATCTGTTTATCTATACATCTATTGATGGACAGTTGGGTAGTTTCTATCCTTTGGCCGCTATGAGTGAGGTCACTATGAACTTGAACGTACACACATCTGTTTGTGTTTCTGCTAACAACTCTTTTGGCTATATATTCAGAATAGGAATTGCTGAATCGTATGATAATTCTATGCTTAATTCTGTGCTTAACATTCTTAATGTTCTCCACGGTGGCCGAACCATATTTTCTCACCAAGAGTGCATAGAAGTTCCAATTTCTCCATATCCTCATTAACTAAGACATTGTATTTCATACTTAAAACAACCGAAGTAGGTTATAAGGCCCATTTAGGGTGAGGTGGTTCCATCCAGGGCCATTCAGGAGAGGGGAACAAAGAGGATTTGGATTTAGGCTTCTGACTTCATTGCCAATAGAGCAATAGATTCTAAGTTAATCGTAAGTATAAATGTGACTTGTGGCCACTTAAACTGGGTATCTCATCTAATAGTACATTGGACCCTTGGCTTGGGTGGTCATCAGGTCATTGGGTAGGAAGCAGCCCTGAAGATAAAGACCTATATCACAGTTTTGGTCCAAGCAGGTACTATAACTGTTAGGAGCAATTCATGGAGAGGACAGGATCTCCCAAGGGGTGGAAATGCTCTTTATGCCAACGAGGAAGCTTTCCTAAGAGTGAGTGCTGGCTACTTCGGTTCATTGTTGTTTCACTTGGCTTGTTGCTTGCTCTTACTGCAGAAACATGCCGAGTATAGGAGCCTGTGCCATACCCGGCAGCCGGGAATGAGAAGGCAGGACCAGCTGACCAGACAAGCCTCTCTCCTTGATGTTCTGTCTGCTGCTCTTGGACTGGCTGCTGCTCAGCATTCTCATCTTGAAGACAAGAAATAAAAACAGTTCCTGGATCCTGGGGAGGGGGTGATGGACAGAGTTAATGAATTAAAGTACTTGAAAATGCTGTTTGTAATATGTTACTCTAATTTCTTTTCTTAAATTGATAAGTAAAAATGGCATATATTTATGATGACACCATAATGTTTTTTGAGACAGACATACATTGTAGAATGGCTAAATCAAGCATTAACATGTATATTGCGTCAGAGACTCTTTTTTGATTGAGAACATTTAAAATCTACTCTTTAAGTACTTTCTGAGTATACAATACATGATTATTATTTTTAAATGTATAAGTTTATTATCATTCACTAAACACACACATACAAAAATTAAAATTATTCAAAGAAAAGCAATGCAAGGGAAAAAACTATAATACTATTCAAATATAATAGAACTCAACCAAACAAAACTGAAAAGTACTTAAACATTTTTTCGTATAATTTAAAAAAAAATCTCAAGCATTAACAAGACATCAAAGGATGTGATTTGTTTTAGAAAGATTTTCAAAATTAATATTGAACAGACAGTGGTCTGGAAAAAAAATTCTAATTAGCTAGTAGACTCTACATAGGCCAAATTTTTAAAATTTCAATTTCAATACAGTCATGTGACATGTGATGGAAATATAATCAGAGAAATATGTTGTTAGGCAATTTCATCCATGTGTATCGCATAGTACCACACAGAGTGCCATCTTCTAAGTGCAAACTGAGAAGGTCTACGTCAATCATCTGTGATGGGCCCTTGATATTATCCAACTATGCAGTTAAATACTAGATACATGAGGCTACCACTGGTGTAGCAGCACACTGTTTTACAGTAAACTCTTCTATATAAGCAGGATTATGCTCTAAAGGATGAAAAGCACAGCATGTTATGATGAGTACCTAAAACAGTAACAGTCATTTATCACACCATCGAGCCCTGTGCACTGTACACAGTTGTATGTGCTGCTTCTGGAAACACACCCTTCTCTCCTTTGATCTCAAGGACTCTTCCTTTCCAAATACAGGATTTTTAATAGAAGCCACCACGGTTGCAGAGATCTCTTGGACTTATTTCTCCAGTATAACTGAGTTTTTGATCCTTTGACCATCACTTCTCCATCCCGAGCCCCTCACTCAACTTCTTTTCCGTTGGGGTGATTATTGCCCTCCAGGGACATCTGGCAATGTCTGGAGACATTTCTGGCTGTCCCAGCAGGCGGGGAAGTGTCACTGGGTTCCAGTAGGTGGAGCGCAGGGGTCCTGCTAAGATCCTACAGCCCACAGGATGGCTTCCCACGAGGAGCGCCTGCCCTGAAGGGTGAGAGGGCCGGGGTGAGGAGCCTGCTGAGAAGGTGGGGTCCCCCTTTGGGTTTCAGTGGGTGTGGTGACTGTCCCAGCTGCCATCCGTGTCACCATGCGGCTTGGTCGAACAGGGTACAATCAGCGTCACTGTGGACAGCGCAGTGGGATCTTCACAGGCTGGATGTTATCAGGGATGATTAAGAATGGATCCAGGTGTGCAGATTTCTTTCCATGTACTCACTCCAGTGAGCACTAATGAGCTCTACCTGTGCCTGGCTTTGTGCATGGATCTTAGAGACCAACAGGTCCACCCCCGTGTGGGAGCCCACAGGTGGCTGAGAGGGTAAACAGAGGCCTGCCCACCTCAGAGGGAGACAAGGGTGGGTGGAGATTCCCGAACACTGTTCTTGCCTCCTCTGAAGATAGGAGCAACTACCCGGCTTCCCAAATAAAGTCACACACATTTGAATGAATTGTGCTGTTGGAAATTGTGTGATTGTGTGTCACAGTGACCTCTTGTTTAAACAAATATGCCAGAATGATGAGTTGTTGAAAATCATAGTCTAAAAAATGTCCAGGTCTTTCTAATCAGTCCGAATATCCACATTTCTTCACTCATTGGCCCACTCAGTCAGACGCCGAGCAGCAGGACGTGCTGCCTGTGCTTGGCCCTGACATCCCTAGTCCGGTCTCCTCTTTCCTTAGTCAGGAAGTCTTGAGAGGCTGGAAAGTTAGGCACGTGAGTGGGTTTCCTCGTGACCCAGCTTCCTGCCCTGCAAGGTCTTAGGTCACAGCAGTGGGGGCGCTTGTCCTCCCAGGACCACAGCCTCGCCCTTGGGGCTCCCCTGCCTCCCCCACAGAGCTCAGCTCCCTGGTGCACCCACAGGCCCTGTCCTTCGGATTCCGGGCAAAGGGACTCAGCTGCACAGGACAAGTAAGGTCCATTCCCTTCTATAGCTTTTCTTTTACTGTTAGGGGTTAACCTTGTGGGAAAGAAGGGCAATAAATCTATGAAGTCTATGTGTGTGCGTGCGTGAGAGTGTGCATGGAGACATTAAGCAGTGTGGGAGGGTGGAGAATCTGGTGCGGAGGGGAGGTGGTCTGAGAAGGCGCCTGGGGCATTGGAGCAGGGAGAGCTCGGGAGGGCTGAGCGGAGAGCTGGCTAATGACTGATGCCAAGATCACAAACACACCCACCCACACATGTGGGCACACACTTCTGCACGTGTGCATGGACACACACGCGCACGCGCACACACACGCGCACGCCAGCTGGCATTTCCTCTTGTCCGCAGATTTATCCGACTGTCCGAGCTCGCTGCTACCTGCTGGCCAGTCTTCCCCCAGGGACGCTAATGAGAAGCCCAAGAGGGGGCTGGAGCGGAAGGGGACAGGGCCTGGGCTAGAGCAGCTCAGAAAAGCGGCCCGAGAGGGGTTGGGGCTCGGGGAGGGTCCAGTGGCAGCAGAAGCCCAAGGGGGGAGGAAGGATGGGCTCTTTCTGACTCAGTGCGCCTCCTCCTCCTCCCCAGCCACCTGCCACGGGCACCCGAGCAGTGGTGTCATCGGGCCCGAGGCAGCCTCGGTGCAAGGATGGCCCTTCCTGGTGCAAGTCCTTCGGCTTTCCTGGCCCTGCTCAGGTGGGCTGAAATCCCCGTAAGTGGGCACCGGGCCGTGGAGTGAAAGGACTCTTCCACCTTCCTCTTCCTGCAGGGAATCCAGCCCAGAGGGTGAGTAGGGAGAACTCAGAGGGAGCCAGGAACTCTGCCTCCATACATGTTTGTCTCCGCCAGGTTGAATGAGGGTGGCAGTGGCCCACCAGGTGCTGTGGTGCAGGCCAATGAGGTACAACCCAGCCGTGTCTGGGGTCTCCCTCCCCTGGGCCAGGCTCCTGGCCATGACATCGCAGGAACCTGGGACTCTGGGTCCAGGACAGTGAGTTCCAGGTGCTGCCTATGACTTCAAGGGCATAACAAGGTGCCTTGGTCACATTTTCTCTAACTAAAACACCTACTCTGCCTGGGGCCAGTTTTAGCTCTGCATTTCTGCTGAAAGCTCATGTATTGCTTTGGCCAGGAGAGTTGTTTCAGAAATGTTTCCTAAGAGGTCTCAGGTACTGAGTTTTCCACTAGGTGTCGTGGGAATTCAGAGGTAAGTAAAATCAGTACCCATATTGTAGCTGGGAAGATGGGCAAAGAACAGTAAAAGCCACTAGATTGGGTTCCTGATTCTCCTCCACTTCATCTTCAGCAGAGGAAGCATGGCAGGCAGCGCAGGCCCTGAATGAGGCCGGTCCTCTATTTCCCCTCCAGCACCCAGTGAGCAAGTGTGCTGCAAGTGCTCTATCAGGAGTGTAGGACTAAAAGGAGGGCAAGACACAGACTCTTCCATTTCAGAACAGTCTAGGTGTGGGGAAGGGTACCCCAAACCACAGCACTATGTGTTATTGCAGAAGTTCCCATACAGCATCAATGTAATTCTCATTCTGGAAATGCTTCTATCTCGCTCCGTAAGTTCCGGGCTTGGGAAACACAGTGAGGCAGTCAGGGGAGCCTCAGCACAGGTGGGGCTTAAAGGATGTAAACAAGGTCACGGGGGACATTGATCACAGAGAGCAAGATCACCGTGTTCTCCACGTGGTCCAGACATAAAACGAATTCCAGGGAAAACTTGCAAGCAGGCATGTAGAACACATTTGGTCCCCAGAACTCTTGGGCTTGGATGGTTGACTCAGCCAGGCGTGGAGCTCTGGAGGGTCGTGGTCAGCCATCCGCAGAGAGGGCTCTGACCTCCCCAGTGGTCACCGTGGGTGGCGGAGGGGACACCTGTGACCACGCAGCAGTGACGGTTCCTGCTCAGAGAAGTGACGCTGTTGGACAGGGCCCGTCCGAGGGGTTGGTCACCTTGTTTCTCACACTGAGCCACTGTGGAAGAAAGGCTCACGGGGAGAGGAATGAGCCTCCGGCTTCCCCAAGTTCATCCTTTTCCATTATTGAAAGCAGTGTCCACAGAGCTATGTGAATATTTGTCCAGCAGAGGGCGGGTGACTGGTGAATCATCTGGGGGAGAGAGAGGGAGAGAGAGAGAGAGAGAGGGAGAGAGAGAGAGAGGGAGAGAGAGAGAGCGAGAGCACTCTGATCCAGTGTGGCCCACACGCACAGCACAGACGTGGCAGGAAGGGACTGAGAGCCACTGCATGGAAGCCATTTCCAAGCCATCCAAGGAGCCTGAATACTTTCTGAGGACAGCAGGATGCGATTTATGGTTTTGAGAAGGACATAGTCTGGTAAATTTTTAAAAAGGATATGAGGAAAATGGCATGGAAAGAGGAAAAAAGAGGCACAAGGAGACAAATTGGATGGCTGTGGTAATAATACAGGCTACTGGATGTTATTTAAAGTCTATTTTCTTTACTTTTTAAAATCCCTGAACCTAGAAGACAGATACTTCGTGCAAGACAATGAGTCAATATCTTAATTCCTGGTCTGAGATCCAGGGGGTGTAGATTCCTTTCATGATGCATCAAAAAGAGGATCAGATGTCCTCTTGGAATTGATACTTCCAGTGGGGTAGAGGGGAGGGCCCTGTCCTTGCCTTATGGGCAACTGACATGAAGACTAGCAAGGCAGGCATCACGGGCTCTGGGAAGGTGGGCTCACCAGGGCCCTGCTTGGACAGCTTCTCGGGGGCTCCTGCTGGGTAGTAAAAGCCACCTGGAAGGACGACTGTGTCTGTTTCTGCTCGGGAGAAGGAAGTGTACCTGAGAGGGTGCT